TCTTGAATTGCATTATCCAATGATCCAGTTTTTAATAATAAGATATATATATTTGATGTATTAATGAAAAAAGATATTTACTGACAAATGATTTTACATTGACTTTTACCATTCACAACTGAATTGTTGATGGTGATTACTTACAGTATTCACAACAACTCCTGGTGAAGTACCATAACACACTGCCATACAACAATAGATTGATGACGCAAGGGCCAAGAAGAACTCAACCAAGGAGAAAAGAAGCAAACATGAGCCTAAACCAGCCACATTTGCTGCAGTTTTTCTGTCAAAGTCATACCATTGATAGCAATCATGATGATAGTTCCCATAACGATTGTTAATACTGTACCAATTCTCGCAGGCTGCCTTCATTTTGGAGTAATTTCCCAGAGTAACACAATAGCAAATGAACATCACACCTGAGATGACACAACCCGTAATGGAGAAACCCATAAAACATCCAATCTGTTGATAAAAAACACATCACACAATTCAAACATATTTATATGGAACCCCTAATTATAAAAGATTATAAGGAGAGGACCACTTCCTGGTTAATGTACATGTACTAAATGTGCATTTAACTCTAACACCAACCTTCTTAATTAATAATAATGATTATAAATTAATCATGATAGTAATTTAGCAGAGGATATTTGATGAGGCAGCTCTTCCTGTCCACTGTTTCTAGGTTGAATATGAATTTGGAATGTTGGTTTTTGTAGAGGGATGAAGACCAGATGACCTAGAGGAAAACCCCTCAGAGCAAGAACCAGAACCAAAAAAAAACTCAACCCACATGTGATGGCAGGTCCAAAAATTGAACCTGGCCCATAACAGAGGGAGGCAAGCACTCTAATTTTTTTCTTTCTCTCTTCACTCTTTATTTTTTTGTGTTCAAGAAACGGCCGCCTGGTCAGCTGAAGTGGTAGAGTGCCGGACTACTGTGTAGTAAGTTGAGGGTTCGAGCCCCAGAGTGGACCAATGCTCAGGGTCTTAAAATAACTGAGGAGATTGTGCTACTGTAAGTTGTATTATCCTTCTCTGATAAGGACCAAAAAACCGTAGGCCCCATCTCCTGCATCTTCTTTATACTGGTTAGCAAGGGATATGTTAAAGAACCCTTACACTTATCGCAACCCTGTCCTATTATAAATTTACCTGCCTTTGGCAAATTGTGAAATACAATACAATACAAATTTATTCAATCAAGGTTAGTCACTGAAGATGTCCAAGAAACAATGAAGAAAACCTACTGTTGGAGGAAGGAGAGTTCATTGCACTTCTCCCCCCTTACTAGGGCAGCCATGGATGTATTTGGAGTTTTTGATTATCCAGACTTGCTTCTCTCTGGTCCCATAATTTTATCAAGAATATTGATTTTAAAATCACATTCAAGATTCATAACAACTTTTTCCATTAAACAAAGCAAAGGACTGTAAACAGATTCCCATTAGAATATTTTTCTGCTTTTCACAATTGCTGAATGTTTTAGGAAGTGTTTCATGTGGTTGGAAAGACAAAACAAGGTTTACACTGTTAGACTTAAATGCAGTTTTAAAAAAATGATGGAATTTGAAGTGACACGAACACACAGTTGCCACTTAATTGAAACAAACTGATCTACAAGAGCATTTTAGGTATTAAGGTAAATTGTTTTTGGTTGGCTTTGATTACATTTAATAAGCTTTTGGAGAAGGTTAACAGGTTATGCACCATCATCATGATGATGATTTAAGGATGTACTTTTACTCTTGCATAATATTGAATGATAAATATTTCCTTTTAGG